AAATAAATGCCGGATTACACTGTGCACGTCTACACAAATTCTGTAAATGATCAATAAACCTAAAAGGTGTCATTAACCTCAATAATGTTATAGCTGTGGATAAGAAAGTTTGTTGTCCAACGTGAGTATTTAAATAGAAAATGTGGCAGATGGTGTGAATGAACCTTTCAAGCCAGTGGGGTGGAAAGCTGCCTTAAGGATAGGTAACATGCTTTTCCATCATTCATGCACACTGACAGTAGCAGACACTACTGATGCTTTGGGGTGATTCTGCAACTGTAGCAATAGCCATGGGTAACAATATCAAGTTCACTTAGTAAAAGCTCTATAAATGACTTACAGTACGTGGTTTTTCTACACTCTTATTTTATTTATCCAGTGTTATTGTCAATATTTATGACGGTTAACGTTTTGCTTGGTCCATTTTGGAACCTTGGGCATTTTTGTACATTATCTCTCCTTCCAGCAAGAAATAAAAGTAGGTACATCTACAGGTAAATCAGCTGCAATACCTCTGTAGCCAGTCAGTTTTAGCTGGTTATTATTTACAGGTGATGAGGAGTAAACTGTCCTATGCATGCTGGTTGATGCTGGCATTCTTGTAAGAATCTGATGACCCTATCTCAGGCTCCAAGCCATAAGCAGCACAGCTCCTCCTCCAAAGATCGATGAATTCTGCTATGCCAAAAGGCCGACCCCCTATCACTTGTGTCATTCTTCTTGGGAAATATTCCCTAGGAACCTCAAAGCTATTAAGGTTCCTGGGAAATGACCTCACTGTAATGGGCTGAAGGTTGGAATGAACGCTGTTACATATGAATGAATAAAGTGACAAACAATGTTGCCTATGAATAGAGGTGCTAGGCAAATATTAGTTTTGCTTGTGATTGTTAAATCGTGGCTGTTTGTTGGATTAGAACCGCAGCTCCATTCTTTGTATCTTTATAATGATGGTATAATTTACAGTTAGTGTTATTGTAGTGATATGGCCCATCTATGCTTTACACTATACTCAAATAAATGGATACATGTTTTTTTTTCAAATAGGCAGAAAAGGAGTATTTTGTACATGTGTAACATTTTCAGATGTAATTAATTACAGTATGAGCACATTTATTCAAATAGAATCTCAGTGAGCACCGATATGATTATAAAAGGCAGAGAAAGTGTGTTATAATTTACTTTTTAATAAGAATGTGGAAGCAGGGATTTAATGAAATCCCCAAACACTTAACCAGGGATTTCGAGTATTTACGGAAATATTTAAGGATTTTGTGAAATGCCAGGTTAAATATTTAGGCATTTCATGAAATCCCTGCTTCCACATTCTTACTGTAATATGCAGGGTATAACTGAAGAAATAAGGTAAATGTATATTTGTAATTTAGTAATGGTAAAGAAGGATGTGGAATTATTAGTTTATCTTTACCATTCTTTATTTCCTACCTCCACTATCTCACTGTTCCTATAGCAACTATATTTTCCTCCCATCCCCCAGTATCTCTCAGTACTGCAGTCCTTCCATATGATATGTAATTAAACACATGGTGCTTCTATAGACCACTAAGACCCTTATGTGTGAAGGAATTGCCTTAATTTTCGCGATATTCAGGGGCGTAATTATTTTCAGTTCTAGTTGTCAATGATTTGTATTGCCTTTGTTTAGTACTAACTTAATTTTTGTTTTTAATTAAACTGATATTAATTTAAAAGTATTTTAAAATGAGTACATTTAGAAACCTTTTTTAACAGTAGTTTCTTGTATCATTTGTATTATATTCTAACATCATCATGCTTCATTTCATTCTCTGGTGCATAGTGTTATGAAAAAATGCGACAGCTTGATGTGTTTTTAAGAAAATGTATAAATTTGACAACAGTGTACTAAAGGTAATTAATGAAAAGGTTTCAGTGGTGAGCCTGTCCTGTGGTTACCTGGTAAAAGGTCTCAACCCTCAACAAAGTAAAATAAGATTACCTTATACACAACCTGAAGAACAAATGAGAACATACTGTATTTCACATGCAGTGTGAAATATATTAGTTGTTTCAAATATATGTTAGTCTCTTTTAATAATAATTGGTTAATAATGTAGGCATTGGTCACTACAGGATATATTTCCTTACAAAGGAAACTTTGCCTTGCCTACTTCATTTGAAATTTGAAGATTGTTTAAATTGCAAAATATTTATACATAAACAAAATGCAGTCACTGTCTGTCTAATTTTGTCTTCTGTCTCCTTGAAATGAGTAACTTCATGTGACACAAAAAATAGTGCCTCTTACCAGTTAAATGCATACAGTATGATGCACCGAGGGTTAATGTTCCAGATCCAATGAGAAAGTGATCCATGGCAATAAAAACATAAATAAGTATCCCTGGTCACCAATAAACATAAATTGAGCTTGATCACTAAATGTGAAATCAAATTTCGCAAGGACTGAGAAAATTAAATCGCTTGAGCAGTGAGGTCATGGTGGCTGTCATCTGAGCTACTCCACAGCTGTTGGAGAGAGTAAATCAGAGGTGGTGAAGATCAATCAGGATGAGTAGCCCTTTTCATTGATCCCTTTTTCAACAGCTTACCTTAATTTGCCTCTTAAAAGGGGCCAAAGAGTTTGAGCTTTGATGTCAGATTAGCTAGGCACAGTCGCATTATTTAGGCCAGGAAACCTATAGCCATTAAAAAAAAAATCAAGTGCATGCAATCATGCACATGCTAAATGCAAGCCATTGCCTTTTGATTACTGCTTACAGAGGTTTGATTTTAGAACCTAGTATTACCTTGGACATATTAATCCCATTACATGTGTAGACCTTGGTTTATTAAACTGAATAAAATATTTGCTAAAGAGTATATCCAATTTTGAGGAATTGTACCATTTTTTAAATTTGCCACATTAGGAAATTGCAATTTATTTATTTTTATTTTTATGGCTATTTGTACTCATTTCAAATTCAACTGTGATATCCTTAATAAGAAAGAAATCTTATACCATGCCAGCTTTGGTTAGTATCAGCCCATCACTGCTAAGCTTCAAAGATATATTAGTATACATTGTAGAGGAAACATTCTGTGTTTAGATTCTGATGATAGAAAAGTTTAAGTGGTCCTGACACAATGCACAGACTTTCAACCCTCTAAACACTTGTCATAAGTAGAGTAATGCACTGCTATAACACACAGCAATAATACACTGCAATGCAAGTGTACTGTATATTGGGGTCTATTATCCCATTATGAAAAGAGGAGTTCTTGTAGACACAGAACATAACACAGAGTATTACAACTGGTAACTTTTGAATTTTGTTTTCACATTCGGCCATGCTCTGAAAGCAGCTCCATTTCATTACTAAAAGCAGTGGAACATGTTGAAACAGATGAAATCCTTTTTAATTCTACATGACTAATCTAGAGTTCACAGCTGTTCTCTTATCTCACTCTTGTTCTCTGTAAGGCTCAAGCTGCAGATATGAATCGCTCGTTACAAAATGTAGCAAAAGCTAGTCCTAGGAAGTGTGAGTTTTAGACAGTAGAAATTATGTTGAGGGATTCCGTTTACATATTTGATTTCTCATTTGATTATGGAAATGAATATGACATTATTCCAGTAAATTCTCATATCCTTTTCAGTGGTTTCTATAGCTGTTCAGCAGCTAACTAAGAACGCTTAGTTTAAGAACACTACACTAAGAACACAACTAAGCGTACTCTGGTATTGTTCATGATACAGAAGGTTTTTAGTAATAAAAAACATCAAATGGAATATCTTTTTTTTTCTTTCAGAGCATTGTGGATAAAAATAAACATACTCAATAATTAATATTTTCTATCAAGGAATTATGGTAGATTTTTTTTTCCAAAAATATATGTTGTGTTTTAAACAAGCTAGGAAGCTGAAGAAAATAAATAGATTAGAGCTGAGTAAAGAAAACTTCTTCCAAGTAGTTTTGGTTTGATGGACTAGCTGACAAATGCAACAAATGCAAACACATGATAATTTTGAAATAATAATTTAATGTCTAACAAATGATTTGAAAATATGCGTTCCTGAGTCTTTCTCTTTTAGGACGTGAATCGTGTTCAAATGACATTTTGGGTCGCTGGATTCAGTTCCGGACCCAAGTTGCTAGCCCCCTTGTTTGCCTGGGTTTTTTCCGGGTTCTCCGGTTTCCTCCCACAGTCAAAGACGTACTAGGAGGTCAATTGGCCTCTGGGAAATTTAGCCCTGGTGTGAGTGTGTGCATATTTGTGTCTGTGTGTCTTGCTCCCATTGCATGCCAGAATAGACTGTGGCTCCGCCATGACCCTGAATTGGATGAACTGTTTAGAAAATGGATGGATGGATTTGGGCAAAATGGAACAGAAAGCAAAATGAGCAGAAAAGCTTATTTTTTCCTTTCTTTTTGGTGTGTATCTTGTTTGACAGGTCACTGAACTTCCAAATCACAATTCAGAAAGGACACTAAAGCAAGTCTCTCCACCCACAGGCTCTGACTGATAGGAAGGCTCTGAATTCAGGACTTTAGCAGTCATTGACAAAGAGATCTATAGACTTATAAAAGGCACATACGTGGCAGTTCTCCCAGGATTTTTTTCAGGAAAATTAAGAACTCATCTCTAAAGGAAATTGGAGATGTGAACAGCATCCTAAAATCATGTGGATGTCCATTTTAAGAAGTTATTCATTTTCCACCAAACCTGAAGCCTGAAAAGAGCTAAATTATCATTTATAATTATATAATAACTTACAACTTTTTAAAAAAATCTTTAAATCTTTAGCAAACATTTGTTTTCTTTCTAGTTCTGACTCCCTCCAGTATTGGCAGACTTTTATTAATATACAGTAGCCCACAAAGGCTTGCAGGGACATTGTTCAGAGCGTGATAAAGCTATTTGCTCTTTGACCACTGGTAGGGTGCCAGGAGAGCACGTCCTGGGAAACCATCCCAGTTTTTACCGACACATAATGAAATAGTGTTTTTGTCCTTTTACAGGAGAAAGAGGTACACAGGAAAAGAGAGGAATGCAAAGCCCTCGATGAGGAGTTGAAGAAAAAGCACAGAACATGTCAGACTTTGGTAAGTGCTTTTCAGAATTTCTTAAAATGCTCAGGCCCTGATCCTTTCCTAAAACATATTTTTAATTTTGCAGTTGTATTGTACTCCTTCCATCCTTCAAATTTGGAATTGCATATTATTTTTAGTTTTTGCCCACTCAGTTTGGAATCTCTAGACCTAGTGCACACATAGTGATAACGACAAATTGCCAGCTGACTCCTCTGACCTCCCAACTAATTCAGCTTCAGATCTGTTGACACACTTCAGCCACTGATGCAATGCACAGCACCAATTGTACACCAACTGATTAATTGAAGAGTGTTGTGTCCCACTCTGATATAATCACAAGCCTGCAGATGACAGGGAGAGATCTCTGTATGAATAATGTTAACCCTGGTCAAGGAGGGGCTGAGCCAGTCTCTGCTTGGAGAATATGAGTCACAGATGTCCTGTGTCACAATGTTGGCACAATATCAGTAGAGTTAAACCTGTATATACCATTCAAGAGCACCTAATAATGTCAGCATCTACCCAATTAGTTGTTTTCAGTCAACAAAAAATATTATGGGCATAATTGTTTCTGTTTTGATTGTGTTTTTATGACCGTGGTTCATGAAACACTGCGATGTTGGACAATAAGTGTCAGTAAACAGTTTGATTTTTTTTAAGGTTGTACTGGTTGCAGTAGTAACCCACAACTTTGTGTATTTCCATCAGAGTTTTATGTCAAGCGTCATTAGAGCCTTGATCAAATTAATCTTTAACTTTCTAATCTGGTTCTAAAATGGAGTGGACACTAATCTAATGTGGTCTGGGTACTAGTTCAACTAGTTCTTGTGTATATGATACATTAATAATACACACAGATGATTTATTTATCTTGTTGAATGTCTCAGCCTTGTAATTCCATCTGCAAAAATGACAGCTGGAAACTCACCAGGGGTGAAAATCCACCTTTGCTGGTATACCTGCAAGGAGGATTTTCCATCACATTACATTTCATCCATGGAGATTAACCTTTGTATTATTTCCTGCACATACAGAATCGTTTTTAGGTGAGGTAATTGTTCACCTGAATGGCACTGGAAATCACCAGGGTATACATTACTAATCAAAGGTTAATTTGTATGTGATGATGACACATAAGGAATCCAGCCACCACCTCATGATATTGTGTGATATTTAAAATAATGCATACTTTCAATTCATATTTTCAGTGGAAAAACATTGTCTACTTGTCATCATTGTTGATCTTCCACCTTGCTACCTCCAACAGATGACATACCATAATGGTCATATGGCTGGAACAAACTACAGATTAATCTTTATTAGACAGGGGATGTGCAAAATAAAAAAAAGGTATATAGGTGGATAAATTCCCATTCCCTGACCTCCACTGTCACCAAACCTTATTATTCAAATACAGTGGATTTGGAGCCACTTCAAGTCAAACGACGTAATGCTGAAGACATCAAAACATAAATAAGATCTGAGGCAATCATTCCTAATGATATTGTTCTGAGTGATAAATGACAAGTCAGAATGCAAGGATGCAGAGGTATGGGGTCAAGACTGAGGCCATTATGAACTTTTACAATAATGTAGATGTTTTACCTTCAGCTTGTTATTCTGCAGTGGTAATGTCACTTAAAAATCATTTTTGCAACCAACCATTTTTTTTACCCACCCAATTACATGCACAATAATCCAATCCAATCTTTCGAAACTGATATACAGAATCCTAGCTTAACAATAAGTACCTGAATACACTATCATTGAATATCTTAAGTCAATGGCTTTTCCTTCCTGTCCCATTTGTCGTATAACGTTGCAGATGTTTGTCAGTAAATAAACAGAGGTGTTCGTTAACCCCTTCGTTAAATGAGAGGCGCTTGAAAAGGTTAAGAAGAATGGAGCGAGCCGTTCTTGTGAGGTCAGGGCTGTTAACTCCCAGCTGCGAAAGTGCCCTGTCTCTCTACACAGGCAGGTTCTCCTGTGGTGATGCGGTATGGGTTCTGTCTACAGCAGGCAGCTCAGAACAGAGTATCCTGTCAGAGAAAACAATATTTTCAAAGGATGGCAGTTTAAATAAATATCAACACTGTGGCACTACCAGCACAGTCAACATGCAGTTCCTTTTTTGTAAAGTGCTTACGTATATAGCCAGCTGAGACACTACAATATATTTACTTTGGCTGCCTGAAATGTCATGAACAAAAGGGGAAAAAAAATAGAAGGCATTGTATTACTGGCAGTCATATCAGCTGGTAAAAAATGGAAAGCTGGGTAAACAGAGTTGTATACTATGCTTATAGTTTATGTCTGCGAGCAGACTTTGGCTTTGGATTGGTATAGCAAAGATGAGCCTGGTCAGTGCATAGTTTCTGTCCTTCAATTCTGCATGTGGGGGTACAGTATGGTTTACCCAACGAGTGTTATTGTAACACAGGACATGCTCTTTTTAACAAGCAATTAAGATCGGCCTCCTCCAATCATGTTGGTAACAACCAGGTAGTTTTCATTACTCAAGAGGATTTTAACTTCATTTTCTATTTATTTCATTACAAAGCATGAATCGATTAAATACTTCAGAGAGATGACCGAGTTTCAGCTTCCATACATACGTACGTGTAGTCAGTTGTATTCAAATGAATTTAAAATGTATCATCATGGAAAGGTACAGTAATGGTACACATAAGACACAGAAGTGCTCCACGTCCTTTTTTTGTTTTTAATCAATTCAGAATAACCAATTATTTTGTGCCACCTAGTCTTACAGTTTGGAAATGCCAGAAGCTGTTTCATGTCTTGACCCACAGCTTCCCACCCTGCTCTCTTATGAGCAGAGCCCAAGGATCTTTATAAAAGAAACGTTAAAGACCTTATTAGAGGAACCACAGGCCTCTTTTTTTTCAATCTTGAACTCTTATAACTGAAGACCTTATCAAAATTGATCAAGACTAAAGTTCAATTTAGATCCTAATGAATGCAATAGATGGATGAAATTTGTAGAGAGTACTGTATATGTTTTTTGGTGAGGACTGAGCTAGGGAGTTTGCTGCGAGAGTGTAGCAGGGGATGTGTGATGGATACACAAAGGGAAGACCTGGATGCTAGACTGATTTTCTATACATTGGCGAGAGGAAGCGTGCAAGATTAGGATCTTACTTTCCTCCTGGGCTTCTGTTATAAACTCCATTATTAAAAACTGCTCACATAGCTGTAGTACCGTGCATCCCAAGGTGTTTCATATACTGTACATATAGAAGGGGACCCATATTATCCACCAGTGCGCCCATAGCCCATCTGATTCCAGATCTACGAAGTTCAAGTAAAGTGAGAAATCATTCACCGGTTGAATTAAAGGGAAGGTTTAGTTAGGAAAGATTGTACAAACCAAAAAGTGGAATTTAGCCAGGACACAGTCAGAATACTCCTGTCAATATCCCTGTTATGGCCAGCACTACTGTATGTCCAACAACTATGACTAATTATGTTGTTTACTCTCATGAACAACATTAAATGTCCAAGTAGTCTGCACCCCAGTTTAACATCTTATACAAAAGACGCTTTCTCCTAAGACGCAATGTATTAATTTGGGAATTGTGTTCCAGAGGGAAGAGCCTTGCCTAATGGCTCTCTAGCACCATTTACAGCAGCAGTCTGGCTTTCCTTAGAGATCATTCATCAGAGTAATAACCAGGGGCAGCCTTGCTTAGTTTCTGAGGTCTGGCTATAGGGTGGTAATACTGCTGTCGATATTGTTTTTATTATATTTCTTTAACCTAGTTAGAGGTTTCTGCCTACATTGTAATTAATCAGTTTACAGAAGTCTGATCTGACTGGTCAAGCACTGCAAAAAAAACACATCAACAATTTACAACATTGGGATGTCAAATATGCAGCCTTTCACCCATAACCACTACTGGGAAAAATAAATATTTGCCTGAACAAATCTGATTAACTGGTGCACTATTCTGGAAAAGCTCATTTGGAAATAGGAACATTTAAAATGTTGTACGCATGCATCCTAATTCACATTGATGCTGCACCCTAACATTTTCCTATCATGGCCCAAATATTACCATTTAAATCTTGTTCTGTTAGCTTTTGAGCATACTGCACAATACTCACTCAAAAGTCCAGTATAACCCACACAGTCAGTACTTAGTAACAGTCATCATAAATGTTTGGTATTTCTGTGGTATACCTTGAGAAAAAGTATAATGAAGAATGAACAAATTATTTTATGCATGAATTAGTTTATGTTTAGATTTATGTTTAGATTAAGTTTCATATGACATATTTCATATGATACATATGAAATAATAAAAAACAGTATATGCTGTATGAGCATATAAAATACAGCACTCATGTAATATTGGATGTAATCAAATGTTTTTAAAAAATATTAAACAAAATTAAAAAAATGAAATATACAGATTAAAGCTGGAAGGGTCGTGAGAAATTTCAGAGTGAAACCTGTCATGATCGAAGTACTTCAAACTTAGTGTTGGGTATGACCTCCCTGTGCTGACACAGATCTGATCACATTCTGGGTGGAGTGCTATGGTATCACTCCATTTTATCACTCTTCTTGGCCAGAAGAAAATGCTGGCAACTCCCAGACTTTGACACTATTTTTTATCACTTCCTGCTGTTCATATCCTGGCACCTTTTGGTTTTGTATTGTCTGGCTAGAAAAACATCATAAGTTGTGAGAATGGTAAGCTTCTGGCTGGAGGACTTCAACGATGTATCGCTAAGCAGTAAGGTTGTCCTCAGACTACACCAAAGGAGTTATTGTGTTAAAGGAGATTCCATCTGACATTATTACAATAGTACTACCCCACCAGCTGGGGCACAAATAACACCACAGTCATCACGATACACACCAGGACATCTGTACGTTAGACAGACGTTTTCCGTCTGTCCTGTCAGGGGCAAAACGGTATTGACTGCCAACTCAAATGATTGCCAACTCAAATGTCTTCTCGTCCCCAGAAGATGACAAATTCATC